AGCTGTGCCTAAAAACTATTGCACTTTTGGAGGGTCAAGCTTGGACTACACGTTGTGTGATTTGATTGCGAAGCGCAATCCCAATGTAATGGACTGTGGTTCACGTTGAAGTGATCCATAGTCACGGCGATCACTGGGACCGTATTCAAAGCAGATGGAAATTGGGTGTTGCCCACCCGAGTACGGTCCCAGTGATCACCGTGACTAAGGTTCACTTCAATGTGAACCACAGTCCATTACATTGAGATTGCGCGTCGCAATCCAATCACACAACGTGTAGTCCCAACTTGACCCTCCAATTAGTCATTACCGTTGTGCCAAGCGTTGCCCACCGTGACCCGGTAGCCAAAGGGGTAGAGGTTTCGGCTACTATTCCAATGGTCGCGGGATCGAGGTCTGCGTCTCCACCTGATGAGATGAAATTACATCGAAACGCGTCGTGGTTGTGCAGTGTTTTCGGGTGGGCAACACCCAATTTCTATCTGCTATTGCACGTTTGTTTTCAATTAGGGAAATAAGTAATTTTACTTACTTTCTATCATTCAAATGAAGAAATCACCTATTATTGAATCAAGTTTGAATAATCAATAGGTGATGTACGTTAGTGAGAAGGTTGATATTGCTTAGTTTTAACAATTCTTGTTATATTTAGTGCGGTTTCCTCCAGTGCATATTGTAAGTCGTGCTCCAAGTTCATTCGGTTCCTTGCTTTGGTGTGTGATCCTGATCAAACGTGAACAAATGTCATTGATGTCTCGGCTGTTTCAACCACTTCTTCCATGTCCTTCCGGATGACGCCTTTCCACCACAATTCTGATTCGATAGGTCCCGAACACATATAGCCCGTTTAGTCCACTCTACCTTTTAACCATTCGGTCGCTCCTTTAACTGGTCAGCTGTCATATGCACTTAAGTTAGTGTTCAATCTGTGATTCGACCTGGCGAACGACTGTCTGACTCAGAAGAACAAAGATTGATGAGCGAGCTAATGGCTGCGCTGCTTTGTAGGCTTATGTTTGTAGTTTAGATTAAGAAAAATTTATTGCCGAAAAATGTCTAATTCCCTGACCACTTGCTAATGATTGTTCACCAATAGTTAATCCATAGTGATTAGGTAGTTTGGTTACACGCATTGCTTAAGACGATGTCGTTATTAATTTGGTTTGGTGGTAGACTGATAACCCAATCCTCGTATATCCCCAGCCAAACTCTATTTTAGCCCCTTGGGGATATTTACCCTTAGGTTGAGAACCACTGGTGCAGAGGGATTCCGTCAAGTTAAATAAATTAAAGCCGACTTTTATCGAGCATTTCTTCAGTACTCCGCAAATAGACGAGTTACCATAGAGATATTTGGTGGTGTGATTCGGTAACTTGCATCTGTCTCTGAAGTAATCATGTTAGATAAGATTTTTTCTGTTAGCTAAACACCACTTTACCACAACACCTAGTCGTGTGACGGTCTACATGAAGTCCCCTCCAAAGTACAACAAAACAAGTGGAGTGTCGCCGGGATGTTCTAACTTTCACATCATCCTTATCTTTGTGGTGGAAATTAGTATGAACGAATCTGACATACTAGTTGCCATGGAAGTGGCGATTGTTCCAAGTGGCCGAGATACAATATTAGCGTACGCAAGCAAAGTTCTCTTGAGATCAGAGACACTGGATGAACTAAAGACCAGCACGTCACGACTTCACAGTCCAAAGGGATATCAGGGGACTGAGCCTACCTATCATCCGCTCATAGCATAACTACTCACTTGTTCGAATTAGCATACTAGCTATCCTTCATGATTGAGGTTAAGTTGTCATGGTGGTTATTGCGCATTTAGCTCATCAAATACTTAGACGACCATGGAGACGGCAAAAATAGAACAAGGTATGCCGCTCAACAGTGCAACCAGTGCTACTGCGATGGGCCAGAGGCGAGTACTACTGCGCGAAGTGTCAGTAGTATAGCGATACTAAGAAAACTGGACGGCAGAGCCAGCAGCAGACGCCCCAATAGAAGAACGTTGAGATACCGCAGATATATATGCACTAGGAACAGACACAGAAGCTGCGCGCACCACACAGTCTCAGCATGAGAGTTCGAAGATAAATGGGATGGTTGGTGGTCAGAGCTGTGCATGTGGTTGATGGTGATTGCGGCTAGCTCCCCTCGGGTACTTGCGTTACTATTTGGAGCAAACATAGTCAGTGTAACTTACAAATGCATATATATATATATATATATATATATATATATATATATATATATATATGAGGTCTTACGGTTCGTGAAAGCATTTCTTGAGCCTTACCAGGACACTACCCAATAGCGACGCGGATCGTAGCGAATGTTGGGAGCACAGTCGACTAAACTGACAGATGAAATATAAGAGGAGAAGACTAGCAAGGAAGAAGTGAGAACACTAGAGGAAATAAGGAGTGAAAAGCCCTAACATGACATGTGAAAAAGAAGTAAAAACGGTTTTGAAACAAAAATGCCGAGAGAAAAGGTTTAAAAATGGCAGTGAAATTAGAACACGTGAGGAAAATTGTACATACCGTATAGTAGCGAACATAAACCCACCTACGGATACGCTGACAGTGCAATAGCTAATTTGTCAGAAGTCGTAAGCCCCCCCCCCCCAAATCAAAAACGGCAAAATGAGAAACAGTATTGTTTCTCCACGATTTCGACGTCATCATTACCTGCTCCCACTTGAGTGAGTTCAAGCGAAACCTGCTCTACTATTGGTCATTCTGTGGTGACCTTAACGAAAAAGCGGTTTGGATTCGCTACCAAAATAGCGCTAACGCATCGACACATGATCCGTGATTCTCTACGTCACTAACGGGTGGTGCTAGGGGAAGATAGATGCAGAGATGTGCAGTGAATTCCTGGGTGGGTTTTGTATGTGACTTCAAGTTGCGTATAACCTTTTAGCAGGCCGACCCTCCAATACAACAACTGTCGGCTGATGTTCGGTATACTGCAGCACCAATCGATACAAGCTGAGCTGCGCCAAATGGAGATCAGATGAACAGTAAATTATACAATGTTGCTCCAACTATTGTCAATAGAGAGCGACGAAGATAGCTGTGTTCAACAGAGATTGAACCAGCCCTACAAGCTAAGCATATCTGCTCCTGTGAGCAACTGGCCAAACGCACATCGAGAACACGAAAAGCCAATACTCGGATGGATCGTAACTAAAGGCACATTGATGTGAAGTAGCGGATGAACATAGGGAAATCGTTTATATTTGAAATGTAAACGACAACAGCCAGAGCCGCTGAAAGAAGGAAAAAAGTAAACAAAACATAACGTATACAAAGTAAAAGCCAAGAATCCTCGAGGCAACACCATTGTAGGAACAAGTATTAGACACTGCTTGAGGATCTGATGCACAGGGGCGGACTGTCGAAACAGACTGCTTGTTATAACGCATCTGCTGAGTGTGATTTGATCTCTATATCACAGTACGTAATTGTTCACGACGCGGCACTTGAAGTACAGTTAACACAACGATCAATGTTTCCAAAGCTACAATGCCGCAGGCAAGTTCAAACGCAGTGAAATGCGCATGTACATAGTTGGGAACCCGCGAATCATCCAGCTGTCCACTCCCTTTGTCACAAAGCCCTAAGACCGACCTTGGTGAATAATCCAACCAAATAAAGTTCATGAAAAGATTTGCCTGCCCCTTCGACCTAGCTGTTGTACATTTGTCCACATCTGGCGACAATGGACCAATACACATTGTTTGCGGCCAAGCCATGCATATATCCAAAAATCAGGGCACAAAAGTCAAACACAGCGGATTGTCGTACCTGAACCGAATAGCCCCCGAGAGAGTGTGGACCTCACGTGGGTCGTACTTTAAGCCGGCACAAAGCAACCTGTCAAGCTTTATGCGGTAACGAAACACAATGGTAGTTCGCAAGGCGACAGTTCGGAAAATGTGTGTAGCTTCACGTACAAACACAAGAAGCTAAAAAGTACGTTCAAAACTAGTCGGTAACAAAGGAGGATGGATAAATAAAGAAGGAAGCAGAAAAGTCGCCCACCAGCACAAGCAGGGGTTCCGAAGTCCATCGGGGAGCGAAGCGAAAGATGGATCGGGAAACGCAGTGAACCGGGGTTGGATATGTAAGATGAGGAAAAACGGGAAATGTGAATAACTATGCGAAATCTCACCAACGTTAACAAATCACCCAAATCGATGAAAGTCTACTCGTTACACCAATAACCAATAGTTTCGACATGTCACCGATAGGAACATAGGTAGAATTCGCAGAGAGAAACTGACCAGTTAGAACACGAAGGCAAGGGGAAAGATACTAACCCAGAACACCGGCTCCAGTCGCAGAAGCTGACACGACGTAATCTTTAAACCCAAACTCAGGGAACGAATGACTACCCTAAGGAAACAATTCAGTTAAACTACCAATACAGACAAGGTCATATGAGTGAATATCAATGTAACAAGGAGCACAGATAGAGAAGGCGCGAGGAAACACACAACGATGAATCAAAAATAAGCAGGGCGAATTGTGGCGCCGTTCGGAAAAGCAGGTGGTGTGATGTGCAGGTATTTGGGGATGAAATTGCCGGGATCGAAGGGTCAAGATAGCACAGTCAAGTCTATGAAGTATTTGAGGTAACCGGAAGAAATAAAACGCACCACACGACGTGGCCGATTGGGACGGCGGAGAAAACAAGGGACAACATAGTTTGTTTAAGGGCGAATCTCAGAAGCATTTTGTTTTAGACGGAATGGATGGAGATCCGTTCAAAGTTTGCGCCCAGGTGGGTGGGTGAACCAAAGAACAACTCAGTGTTACTGAAATTTCCTAATGAGTAGAATCGGTGCAGCAAAAAGCCTGGATAAAATCACCAATAAACATGAACAAACACAAAGCAAATGAAGAGAAAACAGTGAATACAAGGTAATGGAATACGGATGGTGCCGAACCGTGGCGATGATCGAGGGAAGAGATGAGCACAGTCATCCCCAGAGGTGGTAAAGAAAAATACCCAGAAGGATAAGGAGCAAGACCGGAAAGCCCCATTGTAACAATTTGGTTGACCTTCGCTCTAATTTAATCAGTCTGCGTAGTTCTTTGTACTCGTTCACGTGAGGAAACGGACTATCCGGTACAGGGACATGTAGGAAAGTGCACAAAGGCTCCCAGCCTTTGGAAATATCATACACTAGCAACCGGTCAGTGGGAACCGCTTCCTTGACGGAATCTGTCCATCGAATGAATCCGTTTAACATTGCCGTGTCTGAGCTGAAATCCACACCTTGACCGAAAACGCGTCTCCAGCTCCCTAGGTACAATTCGTGCAGTGGTTTGAGGCCGAGTATGCTACGGATGAAATAGAAGGACCAAGGGCGATTGGAGAACAAATCACGCGGAAGAATCGTTGATCGGACTCCATGTAGCCATATTTCCGGATCGCGAGTCGTTAAAATGACCTGAGTTAGGGAAGGGAGCAGAGAAGAACACTTAGTTCGCCTGTGATAGAGCAATCAAGGTTTTATCGTCATAATCATCATTGTACGTCCGCTAAAGGTGAGAAGCGCTTTAGCTATAATGCCGTGATACAAAAGATAGGACATATGAAAAATGATGCTAATTACTACAGAATACACAACAAAAAACAAGCAATATAATGCTTAGTATCATAGTATATGTCGGGCATAAGATCGTAGTTGGAGGGGAAACCTAAGCGAGAAGGGGAGCGAAAGAAACTCATAAACCAAACACCTGTGAGATGTTAAGAAATGTATGCAACCAACTGTGTTCATCATCTTTCAGGCCCCTACCCAGCAGTCGGGAAGCACCAAACGACGCCAAGTTCGAAGTGAGGGTCTTCATTCCTCGAAGCCAAGTCATAGATTGGTGTCCGCTTCTCTTCTTCTATCCAGACACTGGCAGCGGAAACACACGTCGCGGGAGTCCGCGTGCTAGCATGCGCAACACGTGGTTCAGCCATCGGAGTCTGATGTGTGAGCAGCCTACTCGCTCTTGTTGCACCATAAACAATGCGGCGAAGGCGTTTATTGCTTACAAAGTGTTCCCATCGGAGGTGAGGTAAACTGTGAAGGCAGCGGAGAAATCAACGCAGTTACAAGTAAAGTCACAAACTTCCTCTTAATTGCCCTGTACCTTCTCGGTGGAATACAATGCTTCCTCTTGAGAATTCTAACCTATACAACCGGATTAACGTTACTAAAATTACTAACAGAGAGGAACAAACCGTGTGGGTTGTCCTCCTATTGAAAAATACGGAAGAGGGAAGGCTCTATGTAAGCACCTAAATGCTCATAGTAAATATTCAGGCACGCACACCTTGGGAAAATCACATGGCCATATATGGATGGCTATTGTTCTAAGCTAAAACGGTATAAACAAGGTAGTCTATTTGCAGCTTTCGTTACCAACGCCACAATGAACCGTACCCCAAAGAAGACTAAACAGTCTGATAACCTTAGAGAGGTGACCAGCTTAGGAGAGAGCAGTAAGAGCGTCACTGGTCTCTAAACATTACTGTGAACTGTGGAATTGCGTCATCAAAGCTGTAATCATGGACATTCTTCGGTAAAATGTACTTGAAAGCTCTGTCGTGTTCAACTGTTGAGAGCTTCCGTAACAGCAGCCGAACTTTTGGTGCAATGTTAAGATTACGTCTTAAAATGTCGTCATAGTGCCTGAACCACGCATGGAATATCAGTCCCGAAGCAGCAACAAAGACGAACTCAATACCACGGTTGATCAGTGCGTCCCTTGAAGGCTTCCAGTGTTCAGGACGACCGTCGAGTGAAGAGATAAGGCCGGAGTGTGAATTGCAACTATTCGCAACTGTAGGGCTTCGGATCGCTGTTGCTTTTGCAACAGAATAGCCTTCACGCCTTCCGATGAAAATGACATTGTGACTTACTCCCACCTCCGCCGTCACAATCTGTCGCGGCTTTCACTGACCGTACACGTAACCTGCTGATAGTGTGCCCTATGAACCGGTTTCTGGAAAAAAACCTCTATCAAGCATTCGACACAGTATGTAGAGTCAAGAATGGGATCAATACATAGAATTCATGAGATAATGGCCTGGCTAAAGGTTCCTGTATTCCAGCAACTACGAGATGCTTGAGGATGGACATGTTGACTGCCCAAAGAGTGCGCTCGCTGGAGGACTCCAAGGTAGATTATTCTCAGTAGCTAAGCACTTAGACTTAAGGCCCGTCGGGCCGAAATTGTCCGGGTTGCTAGTAAAAAAAATCTAACCCGAAAGCTACTATAAGCGGGTTTTATTAATATCAGCATTGTGAACAACAACAGTACATCAGCCATTTAAACTGATGCTTCGCTGCCGTACAACCAGGTATTAGCGAGCGAAGTGGGAGAGAAGGAAGGCTTATCGGAAAATAATGCACTAAGCAAACATTTTGGATTAATGCGCTTACACTTTGTCAATAACATATCGTCACACACAGCTCGGTACGTTACCTTGCAAAGATAAGGCGGCATCAGCAAGACAGTCTAATTACGGTTTTCATTGGCACGCATCATAATCTATCAACAGGTCAGTTCCAAGTTTCAGGCTCTCTCCCCGAGAGAGATAAATCATTGCGCTCGCAAGCTGGACTAATGCTCAAATTCGTGGATCGCGTATATTTGACTCCGGAACCTGAATGAACGGTCAGCGATGGTCACGACCAGTTTTCCAGGATCTGAGGTAAAAGTGCCGACACTGAGTTTGTTCGAATTGGATCTATGAGCCCAAGTGACAAGAGCGACTCAACGACTAAACGTGAACAGTCATCATAAGCATCATCATTGTAAAGTCCAAAAGAACATAGAGTAGTTGCATCAGGTAAAGTATACCCTCTTGATGACTCAGTGTTCCTATTCCGTTCTTTCCACCTTCGGAAATAATAACATAACTTTCGTGCTTTAGACCATTATCTGCTCCAACGAGCATCGTTTTAAACTCCTTTCATTTCCAAGAAATATTCTCAACGTCACGCATTCATCACTCTGCTAGTAACGGTATTGTTATCTGTTGTCTAGTTTCGCTCGCCAACTTCACGTTGCAAACCTAGTCGCCAGTCTTGGCTTGTATATCATTCTGACATTTAAAATCCCGGTTGCAGAATTATATTACAAATTCCTTCGTATCAACCGTTTTCTGCCTAGATAATGAGTAAAGTTAAGGTTTGTAGCTCGAAGTAGCAAATTTCAAATACAATTCGTGCAAAGAAGTTCGATTCAGCGCTTAGCTCCGTCGCTACAATGATTCACATCAGCTATAGCAGCATCATTGTAACTACAAGTTAGAGATGAGAGTTAGAAAGAACCTCAACGAATGCGCTGCATTACTATTGGTACGGTAACACTAGTCAAGCTGATTATTTTCACACTTTCGCTTTCATGACTTTATAGTTCGAACCTTCATAAGTAGTAAATAAAGACTCCATAGATCTACTCTGCGGCAGGTGCTAGAGCAGCGCCACGCATACCGCAGACCGACAATAGCTGCGTTCCTGGACTTCGAGAGCGCGTTCGAGTCAGACGATCGATGGATTCCATTCGAAAAACTTGCACCGAAAGGTTCCCAGGAAACTTAGAAACATTTTGCGTGCTCTGTACTCGAACAATACAGGCCTCATCAGAGTTTACGAGGATATGTCGGATAGCTTTCCAACAAGAAGTGGCGTTCGTCAGAGGCTAGTTACGTTCGATCATTGGTGCCATCGCAGTTGGGCTCACATCTGGTGGGAACACCGCGTGTTCGATGCCTTGTTTACGGCACAGAAAAAGGAACTGAACCGCTCAGTACCGTCATTTCACGCACCAGGCTCCGATTGCTCGGCCACGTGTTTTGCATGCCAGCCCACCGACTCCCTCGACGTGCATTGTTTGCTCACCGGGGATGTGGATGGAAGAAGAGGAGGGGTGGCCAATCGATGACTTGGTCCAGAGGAATGAAGGCCCTCACTTCGGAGCTGGCCTCGGTTGGAACGTCACGGCTCCTTGATTGGGGTCCAAAAGACGATGAACACGTTTGGCTGGATACACTTGCTGACATGGCAAGCAGCCGACCTCAGAGGCGTTCCTGCTGTGAGTTTCTTTGTCCCTCCCCATCCTGTTTAGCCTCCCCTCTATCTACGATCTCGTTTCGTAGCGCAAAACATAAAACGTTTTCTCTTTGCCTAATAATCGGCTGGTAGCTTACCGGAACGATGCCCACTCGCTGCTGGTAGCTCAGCTGGCATGCAACTGTTGTATTTATTTTCCTTTTCCTTTATGTATTGCGGCACAGTAGTTGAGGTGTTTCCAACCTCTAGCTGACGTGTATAATGATGATGATGATTCGTCAGCGTTGTCCAATTTCCTCATTTGCGATTATTTGCATCGTGGACTCAATCATGGAGTGTTCCTTTGCGAAAGCTCACGACGCAGACGTTTAGATGCCGGTTGGGGTTGCCACAAGACTATCAGCTATTAGACGATCCAATGACCCTAGACAGCGAGGAACTCGATGTATACCATTAATTCATATATGGCGGTTGAACTGTTCGCAAAGATTGATAATTTTGTTGCAAACGTTCCGTCACCAATCGAGGTGACCAAATTAGTGCATAGTTGAGTGCCGTGCAGTAGCGTAAAAAAGACTCAGTGAGAGTGTGCTGAGCGTGGTGATTGTGCGTTTTAATACCGCCGTGTTTGCTTGACTCCTTGTTTTTCGTGGCCTTTGTCTGCTTGGTCTTGTGAGCGAGTTCGTCGTCAGTTCTGGTTGTCTAGTCATACTTTCCATCGGATTCAATCGATCAAGTTGGCGGTCGTGCTCCAAAAGTGTTGCGTATACTGCGTCCAGTTCGATTTCACTGCACTCTTCAATTCAATCGGTCACGAATTGGCCAAAGAAACCATGGTAGAAGTACTTAAGAATAAACTAAGTCCAACAACAATCATGCGACCTGAAAGATTTTGGGAAATCCTGTACCTATGAATGACCACTTATTTCCAAGTGTACCCGCAACTGAGAGGAACACCCATGGGATCCCCAATTTCGGGGTTTATTGCAGAAGCCGTAATGCAGAAATTAGAGCGCATTGTACTGCCATCTATCAACCCAAAACTCTGGATACGATACGCGGACGACACATTTATCATAATAAAACGGAACAGAGTACAGGCCACGCACGATTTGCTCAACAGCACATTCGAGGAAACTAAATTTACGAGTGAATTAGAAGAGGATAACAAGTTACCATTTTTGGACGTACTGGTCACTAGGAATACCGGCGGAGCACTGCAAACGTGCGTATATCGGAAGAAAACGCATACGGATTAGATATTAAACTACCGCAGTAACCACCAGATGAATTACAAAAAGAGCTGCGTGCAAACCCTGTTCAAAAAAGCGGAAACACACCGCAGCACAGCCAAATTGCGGAAACAGGAAGAAAAG